GTTTGATTAAATGTGTCTGACATAAACATATCAAACAAAGTACATTAATTCACTCGTTTTTTACTGGGCAGGATTAACATGATCAGACCGACAAAAGTTTCGTCATGATAAATATTAACTAAAGTGCAAGGCCTATTATCACAACTAGTGAACCCTTCTTACAAATCTTGATTAATTCTTGTTCATTATTGCTGTTATTGTTATGGATTAGTAGTAGAAATTTGAATTATCAATATTGTTTTATTTTGCTGTATATAGGCCTATGTCTTTTTACCTTGCTCAATTCGTATTGTAACTAATGATCTTCATGAGAGATATAGTCTACCTTGATTTAGCTTTGAAGCATTGGACTTACAGAGAGACACTGACTTACAGTATTTTTATTTTAACCGCAGAGGCTTAATTTTTTAAGGGCCTATATCATGTGAATATATTGGATGCATTCATAATTAATTATTGTTTACTTGATTCATTCGTCTTCATGGGGCCTACTTTTCATAAATAACAGTGTAATAGAAAAGTTATAGTCGTAGGACTTAAAATTATGTGTATATTTTTGGTGGATCATTAGGCAGACCCATATATAATTAGCGTGTCAAGAATGTTTTTGAATACAGTAATCACCTTAATATTAAGCATACCCCCCGGGCATACCCTGGTTTATCTTGAGACATTTTAGAAGTTGTAGGGTGTGTAAGAGAGAGAGAGAGAGAGGGAGAGGGAGGGGGAGAGAGAGATGAGTGGGGAAGTGGGGAATGAGCACGCCAGTGTGATACCCATCTTCCCTCTTGTCATTGACACGATCTCTGTCACTGAATAGACCTTGACGTATGATTTTCACTACAGAGGCTCACATTGTTTAGATTAGGCCTAATGAACTATCTATTGATTTGTCAATGTATTGACTGAATTCGTATTCATTATCAATAAAATGTTCGTTTTTCTAAAAAAATGAAATGATCATATGGTAAACAATTGTGTTTTTATTTTTGTTAAAATCAGAACCATATAGGGAGTTAACATATCTATACAGAAGTAACATATCAAATAAAAGAAATCCATTTTTAGGATACAAAAGATTACATGGGTACCCAAAACATTTTACAAAAGACCTGTTGAGTTTAAAATGAATTTTATTAATACGGAGTAACTGGGAATCGGAGGCTGAACTAAACAACCATTCCGAGAAACAGCTGAAGTACGATAACTGGAGAGATTACGAGATTGGTCATTGATATTTACATAATTTTAATAATTAATTAATGATTGTTTTACTTATTTATTCATTCACATAGGCCCACTAATTAATTCACATTAGGACTACCTTATTCATAAATCACTTTAATTAATAAACTGATATACAAGAAGTTGTAGGCCAAAATGTCACTATAGTCCTAATTCCACAAGAAGAAAATACATGAACAAAAATAATATGATGGAATAAGTGTGTGTGCATGTTTAGGTGGGTCTCAATCACATGAAACAAGAAAAAAAATATTCAAAGAGAGTAGTTGACAATTGAAATGTTTTGCTTGAAAGTATCATTACAGGTAAATGCTCAAGCTCGTTAATAGGGCCTACTATAGTTAAAAAATAAATGATTGACGACACGGTAGAAAATTGCTTATATACATATATACATCAATGTTTAATTTTATATAACATCTATACTTATCTTGATATTAGTGCCGGGGTAGCAGTTAGGTGGTCAGTGGTTGGTACCACCTCCCCCGTGGGACGAACATGCCTAACCATATTATGTCATCAGACGCCTCTAGCTGGTCATCCGACTAATAATTATTAATTTGCCGATTCAAATACTTATGGCAGTTGCTGAAAGGCAAATTTTACCATCCACACCCGGCCCCATTGAGCCAACTTAGGGGTTTACCGCTTAGTGTGGTCCTTTAAGGACCACTAAAACTAATAGTCAGTAGGCCGGAACTCTGTCAGACCTTTAACTACCCAGTTACCAACTCTAACTACCAGGACATATAGGACATAGTTTTTATATTCTTTCATGTTTTGCTAAGTTGTGATACCGTAAAACCGGCGAATTGAAGCCCTGTGCTTCTTCTTTTCATTGCGAACTTTGGATGGGCTTCTTTTCGAGCCTGGGCCTTCCAAAATAGGCTTCTTTTCGAGAATACTTTTGCAAAGTAAAGAGGGATGGAGGGCTTCTTTTCAAAATGAATGCTGTAAATGTTGTGAATTTGTATTATAAAACAATAAATAAGGCCACTGTAACACCAATCTGTATCAAGGAGAGTATTTAATTGGAACTCACCTAACCTACTGTCACGTATTTAATTTATTTTGTTTTATGTACAGTGTATGTGACTGTAGCTTCAATTCGAGGTTTTACGGTATAGAACTAATTTTCAACGTAATAAATCATTAATTTTGATGTGTTTACCTGTAGGTCTATGTAGAGGTGTGATTTGTGTCGGGTTTTATTGTGTAATGGTTTTTTTTCCTCTTTCAATTCATTATTATTTGAAACTGTGTTACTTTATTTATGATAGATACATTTAATGGAAGTAGTTCCGTTCGAATCTATGTAGGCTAGAGAAAGAATAGTGGTATGTTTCTTGGTGGTATTGATTTACGGTAATTTAATTGTAATTGTTAATTTTGTTAATATTTGTTGTTGTCTTTAAATTCATCGTCAAACGACGAGTGTCACTGTAACGAAAGTGTATGTATAAATAATATTAAATTATACAAATAGTTTGTTAAAAGTATGATGTAATTTATGATTACGTCATTCTAACGTTATATTGATTGGTGGGATCAGCTAGCAGGCATCCGGGAACCAGTGAATGGCCGTATTCGACTGGTCGTTCTTCGTTAAACCACGCCCACCTGCGCAAACAGTAGTAAAATCCTACTAAAGAAGACAAGTCGAAAAACTGGTAAATACTGTACTCCACAAAACAAAATGGCTGCATAGTCAACGCGATACACGCTGCGTAATCAAGGCTGTTTCGGATTATGGCAGTATGAGTTTTTCGTAAAAAAAAAAATGTTTTCATTCAGTTTTTTTAATTCTGCTAACCTACAATTATTTTTAACTTCAATGTAGGTAAATATTATAATTTTTATTTTCTGAAATTTAATCTAAATTATATTCACGCAAATGTTGTTGCTAAACTGACCAATCGGCCATATTTATTTTTGGTCACGTGGATAACTTAACGCCGATTAACGCATTCTGGTTACGTTAATTTTCGTTGACAACAAAGTCTATTTGACGAAGAACCAGTCGAATGAAAATAATACTCAACGAAAATTCTTAGTCAACGAAATGAACCAGTCAAATACGCCCATTGAATATGGCGACTAAACATCGAAGTAATGGTGGTGGTGTTGATAGGGTTTCAAAAAAACTGCAAGCTAGCGTTGAACGCGGTGATTATTATGAGGCCCACCAAATGTATAAAACACTGTATTTCAGGTGAGGTCAATCTGGAAGTTAAGCAGGTCGTGGGTATTAGACTGCAGTCACCCGTAGGCTAGGCTTGGCAAGACCTAAGACCCCCTGTCAGACAGTAAAGTAGGGCCAGTCAGTCCAAGCCAGACTGACGTCGGGTCGTACTTTTATGTGCGTCTGCGATAGTAGGCTTACGGTCGATTAATAATAATAGATTGGGTGGTTTCCCGAGCCTGTGATCTACTAGATTCTAGAATGTTCGTTCCTATAGTCTAGCATAGGCCTAGGCCCAAGACTGACGAATATAATAAAAGTGATTGAAATAGGTGCTTAATAAGACATCATCATCGACGAAGGTGGGAGTTATCCCGAGGCAACGAAAAACAAAAACCACAGTATAATAGGCTAAGCCATCCGTTTTTGGGGAATACAAGCTAACTCGTACCCACAACACGTACCCAAATTTCGGCTGACTCGTACCAATAATTTTATAATAAGTTTATTGCAAGATATACCTTTGTATTTCAAACATGTAAAGAGCATTGTAATTTGATAGTATATAATCATGATAAATTATATATTGTTAAAGACAACTTAATATTTAGAAGATTTTGATACAGCATTTTATTCATAAATAAAATTTATAAATTGATGATCCCCATGAGTAAGCCAGTGTTGGACATGAGTTGACCGGAATTTTAGTGCAGGTTCGCTAAAGTGGGTATGAGTTGGCGTGGATACGAGTAAGGCGACACCACTTTTGACCATGAACCAGTTTAACCCCTATGTAATTAACACCGGAAAATCAGGAAATTAAAGGACTTATACATGTTTTGTTTGACATAGCCACCTATGTTGTTTCCGCCTAGCCTACAGAAAAGTATGCTAACTTTTACCCCTACTTTGGTTGACTCGTACCCATGTTTAGTTACTTAAGATTCACCTGTTGGAATGTTATGCAACTAGTACCATTACCATGGGACTCAGTTGATAGAGCAGTGCAAGTTAATGATGTCAAAATACTCAAAATTTTACTGGGTCTAGTGTACATATAAATTGAAAAGAACTTCATTGACTTTGTATATCTTTACTCTTTAAGTTATCACTCAACATTACCAATACCTAGCTATTAGTTTTTCTTTGTAACTCTATCAGGTTTATGAATCAAAACAAACATGCCGAAGCCATTGAACTCATTTACTCTGGGGCCAGTCTGCTCCTTGAACACAATCAAGTAAGTAGCTTTTAGGCCTACAATATTTCAATCTTAAAGTATTTTATTACAGCTTGACATTTCTATGACATGGATGTATGGATTATTATTCATTATCATCATCATCATCATTAGTATCATCAGTATTATTATCACTATCATCATCATGATGATGATCATCATCAATGTCATCGTCATCATCATCATCATCACCATCATCATCATCACCATCATTACATAGGAATATACAGGTAGGAGTATTTTTGGTGTGATTCACACCAATAATAACCCACTAAGTCATCAATATCATCATCATACCTGTATTAAATTCACTTCAAAGGTATGTAATGTAACATAATTTTTTTTTTATTAATGTATCAAAATTTGTTTATATAATACATTTGTCTTTCTATTTTGTTGTACTTTAATACATTTTTAAGTGCTCTGCATGAATTCTTTTGATTAAATTTGTTCAAATTCAATTAAATTCTTTAACTGTACAATTTGGCTTTGATGAAAATTGCAATAAGTTTTGTTGTATCTTATATTTTGCTACAAATATATCTTTTCTGACCAACTCAGCCTTTTTATTATTAATTTGATTTAGGAATATTAGCATTGTATTTATCACTAAATGTTTGTGTTTTTTTCTTTCAGCATGTGAGTGGTGCAGATCTTTGTATTTTACTCGTTGAGGCCTTTGATGCATCTGATGCTCCAGTCAACTCAGCTAATATAGGTACTGTACTGTATACAATAATAACAAAGATAGTCTGAGATTACAAACCCATGCCCAGGTGTTACACCATCTACAGTATGTACTGAAAAATGAATGGCCTGCGGGCAATTCGCCTGAGTTGGCTCTGCCTTGCTAGATGAAGCCTAGTGTTGTCCTCATGTGGCAAGCCCATCAATCTGGCGAGTTTACACACAGAATTTGACACCCCTTCTCTGACCCGCAGTCGATCTGCTCGAGTTGGCTCTTTCTGTAATTGAAAAGTATATAAATATAACATTGTAAAATCTGCATCTTCTTTCTGATCAGCACCAAATTTGAAGAGGATCCAGATTCATGCAACATTGGCAATGTGTGAAAATTGAAGTACATCGATCCACTAGTATTTTTTATTATGCACCCGGAAGGATACACAGACGCATGCTATTGCAATACCCTTCACCTCTCCTTCTTAGAGGTGAGGGGAATAATTAATATTAAAAATAACAGCAGCAGCAAAAGCAGCAACAATAATAGTAGCAAAAGCAGCAACAATAATAGTAGCAATAACAGCAACATTGACAGATCTGGAAGGGGGTCATGCTGTCTCTTCACCCTTGCCATTAGGTGTAGGCTGTCTCTTATACACATCTTCGTTTTCAAGAGAGGGAATACCTAAAACTTTTAATGACTTCAAAGTCGTTCTCTTTGGGGTTCATCGATTCTGGAAAAAAGAATATTTTTGCAACTACTCTGTAATAAGAATGAGAAAGTTTACCTGACCGATTTCAAGAGGGGAAAACCTTAAATTTTGAAGTACTTAAAAGCCATTAAAAGACAACTCAGAAGTTGGGAAAGCTCATTTCCTACTGTCTAGGAATCAAAATTTTCCCGGGGGAGGAACTCAACCCCCTTCTTTTTGGGGTTCATCGTTCATGGAAAAAGGAATATGTATGCAACTACTAATTTCTTTTTTCTGTATGTGTACCGGTTCACATATAATAGGGCTATATACTGTAATAAGAATACATTATTACCCCTGGTCAGTGGATGCATCACCCAAGTAATGTGACCTGTTCTGCTGCTTGTGGAGTATTCCTTGACGTGGAGCTAATTCCACTTTAAACCAGTGTTTTTTTACATCTTACCTGTTACCCATTTATATTCCTTAAATATGCTTGTAATTTGCATTAACCAGTTTCTTTTAATTTTTTTCGGCAGCCAAAGTGACTGGTTTATACAAGCAAATACCAGCAGATATACCAGAGAGGGAACATTTCCTGAGTGCTGCGTTGAAATGGTCGGCGAAAGGTAACCCCAAGAAAGGCTGTAGTCACCCTGAGCTGCATCAGCAAGTTGCACTTATATTCTGGAATGGTAAGCTTCCATACATGGGGTTAGGTTATCATTCTCTACACCTTCAATGAAATTTATTTATATATTACATATTACATAGTAGGTTGCCTCTTCAGGCAGGATAGTGTTAATGAAGTATACAGTCGATTCCCATTTTTGTCACAATAATGATTCTGTAAACAGTTTTATCATACTGGAGGGCCAGTGAATAAGCAAACTAAATAATAATTTTCACCGTCATTTTTATCTCTGCAGAAAAGTCATATGCCTTATCTCGTTACCATTTTGTACATTCCATGGACGGAAAGCAATGCGCAACTATGTTGGTAGAGTTTCACACAACGCAGGGCTATCCTAGCGAAGTAGATATGTTTATCACACAAGTTGTATTTCAGTAAGTGCTTCAGTTTAACTCAATCTTCAGATTCATTTGATTGAATCATTTTTTTTTAATTTATAGTCTTGGAAGGTGAGTCATGGAAAACATGAAGTCAAGGAAACACACCTCCTTTAATCTCTGATTTTTTAAAATTTGTTTTTGTTTTGTTTTATTGAATGGCAACTTTTACAAAGGTTTTTATTTTTTAATTATGTTAAATTTGGTCTGAGCCCCTAGGCACCTGCAGCAGCCATAGTGCAGTGCCACTCAACTTAGTTACAACATTTAACAGATATAAACATGATTCTTATCTCACCTAAATCTCATTTATTTCACACGATCAGACTCCAATAATCTGACGCCTGCTTGATTTGATCTTGGGTGTTCAGGGCAGGCAAGAAACA